GTTAGAACTGAGTCATCCAACAAAAGCATTCTTTTTTTTTTTTTTTCCCCTAAAAATAGCATCCCAAGAGTTCAGGTAAATGTATTGATTATGAGAAGCCCTCATTTAATCCTAGCATGGATGCAAAGTCCCCTTCACTACACTGTCCTTCCCACTCTAAGACATTTGGGCTCCTGATCGTGGACTCCCCACGACAGCTTTTGCAGTGGTTGCCACAGGGATGGAGCCTGTTTTGGAGGGCGCTGCCTCTTTCCTCCACCTCTGCCCAGCAGTCAGACAGGAACCAGTGAAGGGGACATGGGTGCAGACTGGTATCAGGATATGGTGAAGAGGAGGGTTGAGTCAGAGGGAAAGCAGAACAGTGCAGCACTGGAAGAAAGTTGATGCAGAGGCATAAAACAGAGAGAGAAATTGCTATAGAAACAAGGAAAAGTCAAGGGAGAAAAACATTGGTTGGAATTTTAATAATATTGATCAGCCTCAGATGCAATAGCTGTAAAGATCTGTCACCCGCAGGGAAAATATCTCCACAGCCTGGCTATAGGTGTACTTGGGCACAGACTCCAGCAGACGGAAGGATAGGATCCTGACTGCAGGTTTGGATGGGCTTGCAAACACACGTGCACATGCATATGTGTGTAAACAGAGCATAAAGGTCAAGAAGTCTACACACATGGCAAGCACATGAGCAATGCTCAGGACAGGAAAAGGGCACAGGAAGTTGCTGGTTTGGTACTGGAAAAAGTGGTGGCCTTTGAGTTTAGAATCATAGAATAGTTAGTGTTGGAAAGAACCTTAAGATCATCCAGTTCCAATCCCCCTGCCATGGGCAAGGACACCTCACACTAAACCATGACACCCAAGGCCTCGTCCAACCTGCTCTTGAACGCTGCCAGGGACGGAGCATTCACAACCTCCCTGGGCAACCCATTCCACTGCCTCACCATCCTAACAGGAAAGAATTTCCTCCTTATATCCAACCTAAACTTCCCCTGTTTAAGTTTGAACCCATTACCCCTTGTCCTATCACTACAGTCCCTAATGAAGAGTCCCTCCCCAGCATCCCTATAGGCCCCCTTCAGATACTGGAAGGCTGCTATGAGGTCTCCACGCAGCCTTCTCTTCTCCAGGCTGAACAGCCCCAACTTTCTTCAGAGGGAGAAGAAACTCCTTGCCTCCAAGACAGCACATTAAAAGGGATAGAGAAGATGATCCATGGAGACTTGACTAGGAAGGACTAGGGGGAAAGGCACAGTAAAAGGAAGAGAAGTAGGATGTAGTAGATTTCTGAAGTGGAAGAAGTTCAGCATGGTAGCCGACCGTGATAATGCAGTGTTGGGCCAATTCTGTGGTCCTGCAAAGATAAACAGCAGTCCTGCAGCTGTAGCTGGTTGTATCTGCAAGCTTAGCAGATGAATTCATACCCTGACAGCAGGTAGATTACCTGAGAGGTGTGTGCAAGATGCTACATACACATAGCAGTCCCTATGCTATATGGTGAAGGTCACAGAGCACAGGAGCTGTGTACTTCCAAAGGAGATCATCTGCACTTTCTTAGCTCATAAAGCTTTTAGGAAAAACCTGACCACTTGCTTTCGAAAGTTCGTTGTACATATGGACACAAATCTTGGTCCAAGTAACAGCTTTGCTTTGCCCCACTAACAAGAATAGCCATCCTTCTGACATTGAAGCTGGGCAGTAACTTGCTCAGATGGAGGTACCTGCATCTTGAATTCTTTCATTAGGACTTCAAGCCATGATTTCAATATAAGGTTCAAGGGGAATAGTTTCAGGCTTCACTTATATGCTTCAGAGAAGAGGCTGGCTTGGAAGAGCTTTGGCATTTACCAGATGTATTTGGCTATGGTTTACTCAGTGGAGCAACTTCTTAATCAGTGTTACCTGCAGCAAAGATACTTTTCTTAATCTGTCTTTGTGCACAAACCCTAACTGCTTGGGAAGTATGCTACCTCTTTACCTCTGAGGCACCACTTATGAACTAGCGTGTATATACTTGTCTTCATAACCTTAACACTTTTACCCACAAATTTACTTCAGCAATACCCAAAGGTTATATCTATTCCCAGAAAAGTGAATTGCTTTCCTTTAACAGATGAGTTTGGCTGGTGTTCAGCCTATCTAACACAGATGCCTAACTCGCTGTTCAATTTCAGGCCACTGATGAAGCAGTCCTCATAAAATAGGTATCTAACTCCTCTGCCTAGTCAACAGAGAAATGCATTTGCCTCTGTAGCCTTCCAGAAGGAAAGTCTGTCTGCCCAAGTTTAAGGCCTGAAAAAGAGATTGTGTACTTGAAATCCTGTTTCATCTAACTCACTTAATCGACCTACATATATTGCTGTTTATTACAAACCTTGCCTAAACTCAGGTACAACAGCTGTGTGGGCAGGATGTGTCCCTAGAGACCATCGTAGAGTCTTCTCTCTACTGACTAGGTAGGTGCTGTAGACCCATGTTTTCAAAGGACTGATGCATTTGGCGCTTGAAATGCAGACACAAGTGAGGCAGACAGGAGGATCACATGTGGCTTTCATGTGAAACTACATTTTCTGGTTTTTTGTTGTTGTTGTTCTTTTAGCTTCAGCAAGTCCTAATCCTTCACCTCTACGTATATGTTTGTGTGTATGTACATGTGTCACATCCACAGTGTCTGAGGGCGTGTGCAGAGGACAGGCAGAGGCATGATAGTAACCTCTCCAAAGCCAGTGGTGACTGGCTGACCAGCCTGGTCTTTCCTGCTCCACCCCTAAGGGAAAATACTTTCCCCAATCAAGATTATGTCAAAGAAACACTTCTCATCTTGGTAGTTGCCTGGGGCAACCATCACATATTCCAGTCCCAGACTGGAGATGTATGCTGCTGCCACTTCCTAGGGATAGAGCAGGGAATTATTTCTTCCACCAGGTATCTCCCATTCCTGCTGCCTCCTTGTTCTGTTCAGGGGTGCAAAGCCTGTTAGCACCTTTCCTCATAAATCCTAATCCATGTTCCTGGCATGGCAAAGGTAAGAAAAGAGACAGGTCTTGCTATGATGGTGCTGCCAGCTTTCCTACCTCCCCCACCTGCTCTATTTCTTGTGGTATGACACTGCCAAAAACCCCTGAAGGATAAGAGGGATGCTACACAGGCCTATTTCTCTTCCTTGTGCACAGCCTGGACTTGAACAGCTGACATTACTTATCCTTGGGTACCCAGGAACACAAGTGACAACAGCTCTACCCTGGGCCATTCTCAGAAAGACATTTTCTCCCTCTTGTCTTGTGAAATAACTGTAGAGCCAGTCCTTACATCTGCCTTGGGGTTTCCAGTCTTTTTCCTTCACTTAAACTCCAGGAAGCTCAATTTGACACTTAGAGCTCATCAAAGGGCAGGTCACTGGGGCTAGGCCATCAAGAAGGAGTTGGCTCCAATGAAGACAGCAGCCAACTGTGGGAAAAGTGCAGAGCTGAAGCCAGTGCTCAGAGCTGGGGCTTAGTTCAGCATCATCTTTTGTCAGCTGAGCACAACTGCAGTAGCCAGAAAGCATGTTTCATCTCAAAAAAAGTATAGAAAGAGTAAAAACTAGAAAGCCAGAGAAAGAATCTTCTCTAGCCAATGTGCATGACTTCAGGCTGAGAACTGCCAACAGGATTCTTGTAACACCCCAGTGCAAGGCGAAATCTCAGTCGTGTGCAGTGACTTTTCAGAAATAGGCTGGCAGGAGAGATATGAGCCCTGCCAAGGGGAGAGAAAGGCAATACCTGAAGAACAGGGTGAAGAGCTACTGACTGAGACAAGTGTACCGTTGTGTGCAGTGATTTTTGGTATTTACTGAGGCAAAACTCACTGGGCTGATAAAGGGATATTTTCCTTTGTAGGAAAGGAACAGGGTGTTTCTGGAGATTGTAGCAACCAGCCCATGGCACTATCTTTTTACTTTTTATTGGTTTTCTTCCTCTCCTCTCCTCCCCTCTCTTCTCCTTTCCCTTCTTCTTCTCTCTTTTCTTGTTTTCTTCTATCTCTTCTCTTCCAATTTCCCTTTCTCTCTCCCCCTCCCTCTTCCTCTTTCTCTTCCTTTCTCTCCTTTTTTTCCATCATTTTTTAAATTCAGGCCAGAGCCAAACACCAAAGGAGTAAATGTTCTTCTTTTAATGGTGCTGATTTAGGGACCATTGTACCATCCAAGTCCTCCTACAAGTCTGCTTCCCACACCATACCAGCATTGCTGTGTTTCAAAGCGCGCCGTCCTGTGTACTGCTAAATGGACATGCAGCAACCAGCAGCAGTTGCTTTTCTTTTTCTTTTGTTTTATTTTATTTTTGATATTTATTTATTTATTATTATTATTCTCAGTAGCCAAAGCAGCTCTTGGTCTATTACTCCCCCATTTAAAACTTGGGATGTAATTGAATTAGAGCGGTACCTGCTCCAGAGTCCATCCAAGAAAGTGGAAAGGCTCCTGGAGGAGTTTGGCTGGCTGTCCAGCAAAGCCCAGGATGCTGGGGGTGGTGTGGGAAAGGCTGGTGCTAACGAAAGCATTCTGGTTGCCAGCAAATGTATTTATTTTCCAGACTTTGCAAAACGATCTGTGTTTGCGCTCATTCATTCAGTGCATGCTCTCCTCAACAGCCGCTGCATAACTGTTCACTGTTGATCGTGTGTCTACATTTAAGCGTGTGTTTTGTGTGTGTCTCTGGCTAGGCCTCCTCCATCCTTTTTTTTCCCTTTTCTTTCTTTTCTCCTTTTTTTTTCTTTTCTTTCTGTTCAGTTAGCTTGGTTTGCTCTCTTTTTCTTTTTTTTCATTTTCTATCCTTTAATGGCAAGTATTTCCATTAGATCTTTTTGACTGATGCTGTGTTTGTAACTTTTTTTCAATTATTATTTTTATATATATCTTCTTTCCCCACCTTTCCCCTGTTCCACACTATATATAAATATATATATAAAAAAAATCTTTTCTTCTTTTGTCATTCAATCAAATTCCAACAAAACCAACCAAGAGCCAGTCAAATCCACCACAGTCTCGCGCTGAGCTAGGAAAAAAGTTCACGTAATGACATGAAAGTGGAGAATACAGTCCCCCAGGCCGTAAGTTCAAATCAACTCGAAGTTGAAAGTGTGACATGATGGCGTCATGTAACAAGCTAAGAATTGGTTGCATGACATGCCGTCAAGTTTCGTGCAGGTGCCGTGATTGAAGCATTTTTCTTGGATGTTGTATCAGTTGATGATTGGCCAGTCATGATCACATGTGCCTTTTTTGACTTTGTGCTGCCACAATTTTTTGCTGTGCTCATTTTCGTTTCGTTTTTGGTGCTTGCAGTGGTTTCTTTATTTGTTGTTTGATTTCTCGTCAGCGTTTTATGCTTCTTTAGATGTCACATAGAAAGAAAAAAAAAAGATGGATTCCTAATTATTTAGCAAAAAATGGGCTTGTTGTAACTACAGATAATTTGGAAAAAAAGAGAGAGAAAAAAATGCGTGGTTAATTTTTTTGCACTGAAAATCTTGTGATTAATTTTTTTTTCCGGAGAATTGGGGGCCTTTTTCAATTGACACCATTTTTTTTTTCCCTTAGGATATTTCAAATCGCTCTCTAAAAATTAAAAAAAAAAAAAAAGAGTAATGATAAGTAATGATAGTAACAGTAGTTTGAAATCTATAGCAATGCAAAAAAAGCAACCCCAAGAAAAGCCTCATTGTGTGTCTTTTCAAGAATTCCTAATTCTAAGGTTCCATATTACAGCAACTCCAGCCAAAATTAATTGCTCAGGGGAGGGAGGGATGGTTTTGAGTGGGAAAAAAACCCATACAGATCAAAAAGCAAAATGCATCTTTTTGTTTACAACTGAAAAAGGGTCCTTGACGAGTGTTTTTTATTTTTTTATTCTATTATTATTTTTGGTGTTGTAATTGTTTAGACTGCTGTGTACGGTTTGCTGTTTGTTGAACCAACAGTGTGAAAACCTGCCAGCATGGATTGATATTCCGCATGACACTTTTCCACCAGAGTGGACCTTTTGCAGTTTCTAAGTTTCTTGATGTAATAAATCACCAAGTGTATAAGAAGAACCTGCTTGCTAGAAAGAGATAAGAGCTAATCCTTAATGATTAAGCATCCTACTTAAATGTCAAGCCTAGTCGGATCATGATTACATTTTTTTAAATAACTTTTTTATTTAAGAAATGTTAGCTTTACTTTAAAAAAAAAAAAGTTTATTCCAACAGTCTTCTTTTTATTTAACCTCCTATAAATTGCCTGTTCAAAGTCTTACTTTCTGACATTCACAAAGGAGTAGATGTTATTGGCAGCTATGTCTCCACAGAAAGCTCATACACTGTCATAGATGGCACCCATTAAAATGTAGAATAATTCTTTGTCAATGCCTTTCACACTGCAAAAACTCACCGAGTGAGATTGTGATCTGGCATTGTAAAGTGTCACTTAAAAATAATTAAAATGCAGCTATCTGCACGTACAGATTTAAGTAGACATACCCTACTATTATTTTGATTTATTATTGTCATTACAATTATTAGGAACAATTGTATTTTTCTCTATCATGATCGTGACTACCTTGCTCACTTCGGGTTTGATCCAGTTCTCACTGAAGTCAAGGGGAATCTTTCTGTTGACGTTGAGTGGGAGCAGAATCAGAGCCAGTGCCTCCAAAACCAAAATACCAAACCAGATGCCCCATCCTGTCCCAATTGAAGGGAGAAGAAAACATACATGACTTTCAAAAGGAGCAGGATTGGGCCCAAAAGAACAGGCTTGTTTAAAACTTCATTTTCATTTTAGGTCTTTTTTCCCCCAGTTCCAAATATCCCCCCTCCTTCCCTACTTCCTCCTCCCCTTTTTGATTTAATTTGCAATGATCTGCTTCATTTTTTAGGGCAGCAGCTGAATGGGCTACATTTAGAAAAAAAAAAAAAACACAAAAATTATATATATATTAAAAAAAAACAGGAACTGTTGGATTACACCTTTGACATATCAGCAAATATCAATCAAGCTGAAGACTTCAGAATTATTCTCTCTTTGATTGTTTAGACTGTAACATTTCTTCAAGGAAAGTATCACATCTGCTGACTTCGAAGGACATGCGCTTGAAAACAAACAAACAAATACATAAGTAAAATCAGAACAGGATCAAGATCAACCAGGATTTCTGAAGAGACACTGATATCACCACAGCGGCTTTTCTTCAAACAGGAGATGCAAACCTGGATACTGGCAAAGGAGTGCCTGTTTGCCACCAAGGATGCGGTTATCATGTGTGACCCATGGTAACAGTCACTGAGCATCTTTATCTGTCATTCCTTAGCTATATGGGGACCAAAGGACAAAACTTTTTACCGCAGACTTGTAGCTGTATGTAAAATATGGAAGTTCTTTCCTTTTCTCTGAGCTGTTCCTAAAACAGTTTTTGAGAGCGATTATAAGAAATATGTAAAAATTAAAAAAAAATAATAATAACGCTTAAATGCTTTTAAAACGGCAAGATAATAGTTCTTTGATACTTTGGGAGGTTCTTTGGTTATACATTAATTAGAGTCTATGAAGCTTTCATATGGTTTTCTGTATAATACGTAAGGATTTAAGGATTGCGCTGTTAAAGGCAGGTAAGATGGATATCTATGAAAAGCAAAAAAGTAAATAAATAAATACATAAATAAATACATTAAAAGGCATAGAGAAGAGAAAGGAAAGATGGTTGATATTAAATGGAAAACAAAAAAAGGTTTGTAAATGCTTCTAACTCTCCCCATTTAAAATCCTAATAGTTGTACAGAATTTAAAAAAGAAAGTTTAAAATACCTATATAATAGAAAAAATTAGACAACATAAAAAGAAAAAAAATAAAAAAGCAAAAAAAAAATAACTACATAGAAGTTAGCGTTAATGCTAAAAACAAAGATGTTGTAGAACTGTAATTTTTTGTAGAGTTTAGATTGAGCATAAATTCCTACTCTCTGCCAATTGCTGTTGGATGCTGTTATTTATCGAGGAGAAAGAGGAGAGAAATGGCTATTTTGGCAGCTTTTTTAACTGCAAGCATTCCAGCTATTAAAAAAAATAAACGAAACGAAACTCAATTCTGTAGACAATGCAAATGGGAAAAAAAGAAAAAAAAAAAAACAGCTGTCTTTTTATCAGACGTTAGTTCTAACTTGAACAATGAAACACAGCTAAACGCTTCATGTCTTCATGATCTGCTGTCCGCAAAATTCCCATCATCCTATGCTTTAGTAGCTTCCATATTTGCTCTAGAAACCTTCAGGGCAAGGTGTTAGCCTAGAACCTTAATCTTAAAAAATAAAAATAAAAAAATAATAAAAAAAATAAAAAAAGAAAAAATAAACAAAAAAAAACATAAGGAAACAATCTCTTTGAAGAACTTCTGAAACTGTTTACAAGGAATTTTGAAAAAACAGGGGGATGTTTAAAAAAAAAATAAAGATGCTGGCTCTGTTTCTCTGTAAATAAATTTGCATATTTTGTAGGACTTTTAATTGTAATGATAGAGAAAAACAAGGAAAACTATTTAATGAAAGCACGATATTTATCTTTGGTAAATGACTTTAGAGCAGTTAAAAAATAAGACATTGCTTTAAAAAATCTGACTCAGAAAAACAATGAATTATTTAAGAACACATATATTTTAAAGTATATCATATTTATTATAATTTATTTTCACAGTCTTAAAACTTGATTTACATCATTCTCACACTTGTTGCATTGATTGAGCAGTGTGATAATTGTTTCTGATCCTTTATATGGTTTTATTGTTTTAATGTTCTTGTTTGGTTTCCTTACTGTTTTTTATCTTGATCTCAAACTTTCTTCCTTCTCTTTTTTTTTCTTTTTAATTTTATATTATTTTTATTTTAATTTTAATTCCCTAACGGGCCTCATCTTACGAGTCCTTCTCCTGTCAGAACTCCCATGGGGATTTAGAGGGTTTTCTACATGAGTAAGAACTCAGTCAGACTGAGCCCACAGCTAGGAAGTACAGATGTGTAACGCAGCTGCAGTTCCATACAACTGCTCTTTCACTCTCAATTCCCTAAAACTCCTTGTAATCTTCTGTAATTATTGAATGACGCTTTCCAGCTTAGCCCTAAATAAAGCACAGTTTAAAAAAAAAAAAAAAAAAAAAAAAAGCATGTTCTTTACTTCTTGATGGCTTTCCTTAATGTGTTTGCTTTGAGAACAAAATGAATCTATTTCGACTCTTTCATTAATATACATTGTTTGAGTATCAGAACAAATCCCTTTGTTATATGAAACGTATCTCATTGGATTGAATTAATGGCACTGTTTCATTTAACATCTGCTTGATATTCCACTGTGGTTTACCTTAAACCTAGTAGGTTAGAAGATCAAATAACAGTACATAGAAATTAGAGTCATTGTAGCTCCCATTTGAAGCCTGTTGTTTGATTTCACACTCATGGTTTTTTCATGCTGATAAGTATAGAGGCCAAAGCTCGGGACATTGCTCCTTTTGCTGCTCTGGGAATACCTTGTGAAATTCAGCAGTCTCCAGAGATGAGGTTCAATTTCTTCCTGAGCATCCCTCACATCTTGTCTTTTGAATGATTATATTTCTCCCCCGCTCCCCAAATGGCTGTACCAGATGAGCTGAGCTGAAGCCTTTGCATTTTCTTCCTGATTCTTGCAGCCACATCTGCATTTGGACAAGTTGCACCAGCTAAATCCATCTCTAAATGGGGCTAATGGTGCTTGTCCATAATTTGAACTCCACAGATGGAAGGAGTTCTATTAGTAGAAACTCCTATTATTACTATTATGAGTTACTAATGTCTGTTCAGGGCTATAGAAATAAATGAAATGTGAATCAGGTGGTGAATACAAGGAGATAATATGGTCAGTATTTTCTTTTCATCTGAAGGTAAAGGCAAATACAGAAAAGCGTACACACCAACCCCATCTCTGCCTTTTGGCATCTCTGCTTTTCGGCAGACAAGATGCTCTGGAGAGGGCTTATTAGGCTAAAGATGTGGGAATTGGCCTCAAATGTAACTGAGCTAGAAAATCAGGATTAAGTCTCTAGTAAGAAGAGTTTTCTGCTTCAAAGGCCGTTCAGTGGCCTGCCCTGAGCTGTGGGGATGAAGAGAACAGAGTCACATTCTCTGACTGGGCTGGGTTGAGAATTAAGGTGGAGCTGGAGAAGATCACCCCCTGAAGATGAAAAACCCCACAACAAATCGGGAAAGCTCTATTTCCCACAGTGGCACAGCAAACGTACCATTAGAAGGTGCTACCTAATTCCCTCCTCATTTCTCAGGCTGCCCTCCCCACGTTCCCTTATGACTCTCATGCTCCCCAGAGCCCTTCCTTGCCTGCTTTGAGGTAGATGAGGTCTCTGCAGCGGATTTGGGACTGTGAGTTATATCCTGATGCATCTGTAAGGACACGGCCATAAAGTCTGAGCAGGATGCGCTGCATCCCTTGGGCATCCAGATGGGTACACTTCTGGCCACTGGGACACAGCTAGGGGCTGGGGGCTGATGACTGTGAGACAAGATTTCAGAGTCTTGTTTGAGATACCTTTCAATACACGGAAGACAAAATACCCAGTGCAGTGGAGAAACCATCTCCAAAGAGGAGGCTAGAAAACACCATTAAAGGTGCCTCTATGGCACAGGTCGGTACCCCAAAAAATAACTGCAGAAACACCACTGGGGTTACTCAATTGGGGAATCTGACTATGGGGACCAGTGGGGACAACCAGTGACACAGGAGGGAGCATGCACAGCTTTCACCTTTCTCCCAGCACTTCCCCATGAGTTGAAATGCAGGCTCCAAGAGAGGGCATTATCTCCAAGTCCAGTCCCTAAAAATGGAGGGGGACTGCTGTCAGCCCATTGGAGGTTCTTTTACACTGGTGTGCTGGGGAATAAAGCACTGCTGTGACCACGCTGCTGCCTGAACTTGTTTGCCACACTCAAAACTCCATTTATGGTAGACACATGAACCAAAACAGGATGGGCTGAAGCACAAATATAGATATGGTTTTATGGTTGGTTTAAGCACCCTTCTCTGGGCTTTACAAACATATCAGCCCTGTTCTAAGATTTAACTGCTTGTCATATGTATACTTACCAAAGAAAGTTCACCCCTTTACACTGTAGGTGCTGTAAAGCAAAGCAATAGGCCCATTTCAACATGGGACTGTACCTGCGGGGCCAAGCAAGCAGCCAAGAAAAACCTTCAGTCCTAAGTAATGAAAATGAAGAAAGAGGCCAAGCCAACCTGAAAACCTGTAGCTGCCTGCCCATGTGCACCAAGATACAGCAGACTGGGCACCACACTCTATTGCAGAGGTTCTAAAGCCACTGGCTGGCTGATGCTGGCTCCTGTCTTTTATCTGAGGCGGGTAAATCACATTACATGAAACTAAAGGTTTATTAAAGGTCAAACATCCATCCTTCGCCACAGCGCTCCTTGGCATCAGTGTGATTACAGTAAACTGCAATCCCATCCCCATGAATAGCTGGGGGCAACCTTTGGTACAAGTACACGGCATGGTTTACAGTCATTCTTTCTGGAGTCCCATGGAGACATCTCAGCCACTAATCACATTTTTATGTCTCTAAGAAAGCTGTAAATGCCTTCCTTGAGTCACTTCTTCATATCACCATTTACTGACATAGCCACTCTTTCTTTGCACAAACACAAGAGAAAAAAATATCCCTCCCCACTTCCACCACTTCCCCACTCCAGGCAGATGTCCATGAGACAGCTTTCTTTTATTACAGGATGACCTGAGCTCTTCCTGTTTCCCCTTCATGTAACCAACTTTGTGATACCACTCAGAAATGTCCTTGTGAAGCAAGGTGAGGACTTTTACTCCTTGAATATTCCTGTTTCCAGCAACATGTTCGTTCCGATCCCAAATACACCAGGGCAGTGACCACCCCATGGGTCTAGCAGCATGTGCAGTGCTCACGTTTGTGTTCCCAGGAAGAACTCGCACATCACAGAGGATTGGCAGATGGGGAAATGCACATCACTGAGTGCTTCAGAGCAGACACTACCCAAGCAGCTGGTGCAAGCTTGTGCACAGAATCACTTGGAAAAGGAAGCTGCTGGTGCTGTGGCCTAGGAAAGTCTCTTAACAAACTTCTTTTGAAACTACCTGACTTGTCCTGCTGCTTCAGAGCTAATGAAACAGGAACAGGCCACAGTCTCAAGTCAGCCTGCTGCAGAGTCTGAAAATGCCTTTTGGAATAGTGCTGCTGTCCTACTTCTTGATTAAAATCTGTTGAGAGAAACAGATTTTCAATTGCACAGCTTCCTTCTCATGACAGCAAGCACAATAGAGCAAACACATCCCAAGAAAATATTCAGAAAGTGCCAAATCAGAGCCCTTGCTCTCCTTTTATTAGTGGGATGAAATCACTCCAATGTCTCATAGAATCAGCAAAGGCTTGGGTTGGAAGGGACCTTTAAAGGTCATTTAGTCCAAGCCCCCTGCCATGGGCAGGGACATTTACTACTAGACCAGGTTGCACAAACCCCTGTCCCTTTGCACACTTACACTCACCACTGCTATTATAAATGCTTTGCCCATCCAACCTTAAACATACCCAGTACAGCAATGTTTCTGGTAAACACACACTGGGTTCTGGAAAGAAACACCTTGGGAGAACAGATCCTCTGACCAGGCCATTCGTAAACCATTCTGAATTCTGGGTCTCAATATGATAAGTTCTGAACTTGGCAGAGGCCACCTCAAGCGAGCACAGTATGGGGAAGGAGGTTCCTTGTACACATACAGGTAAGCATTCCGTCTTCTTGTAAGCTACACCCTCATGGTGTGCAAAGAATTCACATGAAATATGATGAGCATAGGTTCAGATTCTCCTTTGTCCAGCTGGAGGAAGGGATTTGTCCCCTGAGACTCCCATGACATAGAAGCTGGCCCTGTTTATACAGCTGCAGAGCAGCCCAGGTAGGTATTCACAACTTCTCATTTGGCTTACAAGGTGGAAATAGAAATGGAAACTGGGAGTGAAGGACTCCATAACCTCTCCTAGGAGAATCAGGCTCCTAACAGTGCTCCCATGAATGTACATCACACAGGCCACCTTGAAGGAGCAAAGGATACAGAGTCCCCCCATTAGTACACCTTAGCTTGCTGCTCATGGCACTCTCCTGGGATGTATGCGTTGCTGGGTGTCACCTATTGCTTTTAGCTGTTAAAAAGAAAAGATACAACACACAAGTCTGTAGGCAGCTGGTGAGTGGGTGAGCTAACTCTTCCCAGTGGAGAGCCACAGCATGGCATCCCAAAAATGGGAACCTCTCCGTCTGGGAGAGACAGAGGCCCTAAACTTTTCCTCATCC